CTACACAACTTAAAAAATTCTGATTCAAACACTACACAGATAAATTGAATTAGGTAGTTGTTTTCATATGGGCAACTTATTTGTGTAATTTTCAAACTGTTTTGACATTGAGTGGTGGTATACTAGAGGCCAACTCAGGCTTAAAATAGCCTTCCAGCACATGTCATTCATATGTCAACACATATGCATTCAAAAGTTATTACACTTTCAACAAATATTCATCACTAACTACCCATATACTTGTGCTTTTGCTCTTTTAACTCTGTGTTTACTGTTAACCCTCTTCTCCTTTTTCAATCTATACTTCCTAAAAGATACTATCTGATCTCATGGATTTTATTATCATTTATAAAATTATGACTTCCAAATTTAAATATGAAGCCCAAACATCTCCTTTGAGCTCCAGACCTGTATAGCCAAACTACTATGAAACACTTCTACTTGGATATAATAGGAAGGTCAAACCAAATATTATTCCCCTACACTGACCACCTTCTAACCTCCCCCAAAGCAAGTTGTCTCAAAGTTTTTTCCTGATTTCGTGGAAATTCTGTCCTTCCATTTGCTCAGTCCCCAAATTGTGAATAATCCACTACTTTAAAAAAAATCTTGGCCGGGCACGGTGGCTCATGCCTAAAATCCCAGCACTTTGGGAGACCAAGGCGGGTGGATCACCTGAGATCAGGAGTTCAAGGCCAGCCTGACCAACATGTTAGAACCCTGTCTCTACTAAAAATACAAAAAGTAGCCAGGCATGGTGGCAGGCACCTATAATCCCAGCCACTCGGGAGGGCTGAGGCAGGAGAATTGCTTGAACCAGGGAGGCAGAGGTTGCAGTGAGCCGAGATTGTGCCTGCCTTTGCACTCCAGCCTGGGGGACAAGAGTGAAACTTTGTCTCAAAAAAAAAAAAAAAAAAAAAAATCTTACATTGCTTATCTAACTCATCAGGAAATTCTATGGACCCATTTTGGTACATGTAGAGAATTTGGCCACTTTTTCCACCACCACTGTTTCTTCCCTGGTCCAAGCCATGTTCTCTTTTCTGGATTATTACAAAGCCTTCCTAACTGGTCACCTTGCATCTGTCCTTGCTCCCTTTAGTCAATTCTTCATACATCTGCCATAGTGAACCTGTTAAAGCATGTCAAATCATGTTGCTCCAAAGTTATATCATGTAAGTCGTAATAAAAGTCAAATTATTTCTAATGGCCTAAAAGTTCTACTGAACTGGGCTCTATCTTACCTATTTGAAGTCAACTCTTAGTTTGCTTTTTAAGATCTACTCTACTCTGGCATATTGGCCTTGTTGTTCTTCCTGGCACTCATAAGGTGCATTCCCCATTTATTCTTTGTACTTTCTGCAGTGCCTGGCACATAATAGGCTTCATAAGATGTTAAATTTATTCAAAAATGTTGAATGAATTAATAGATAAGTAATGAATTTGTTCATTAAACGATGGATTTGTATGAGGTCATGGAGTTAAAAAGAAAATCCTCTCTCATTTGGGTTACATACAGGTAAAGGCAAATTCCCACACTAAGTTTAAATGCTAGAGTAGGAATTAGTACAGTGTACTATATGAAAAAAATACAAACACCACCTCGTTTAGTCTTTTGGTAAGAAAAATGATTTTCTCAGAAGACATAATATTTAAACAGACACCCAAAGATTGATTACGAATTGCTTCAGTAGAGACAGCAGGTAAAAGGGAATGTAGTCTTCAGGCGAATTATAGCCATACATTAGGTTTCACACAGTGAAGACTGTGAAGGACAAAGTATTTACAAATGGAGAAGCGAATAGGGACCTGGTTGTCAAAGACCTTAACTACCTTGGTGGATAAAATACAGAAACAGTGAAGAACATTGAGCAAAGGAGTGGCATGATCATACCATTTTTAAAGATAGTCATGGATCTAATATGGAGAATGAATTAGACATGGGCAAGCCTGAAATCAGGAACACTGGATAAAATGTTATTGCTACAATATAGATAAAAGATAAAGGTAGACTAAACTAAAGCCAAGCGTAAGGCAATGGAAGACACAACTGAGCTATGCTAACTCATGCTAAATCTAAATCTCTGCTCCATGCAGCTATGAGAATTTGAAAGGACAAACACGCTCACAAACTGTGGCCTGCAGTGCCACCTGGCATCTGTACTGAATGGAATTTAAGAACAGCTGCTGCTAAGCATGGACAAATTCAATTTGTGTAAACACTTTGCACAAAACACCATCAACCTCAAAGAACTGACTTCAGGCACATAGAAAAGTATGATGTCTTACACACAATACAGCTGTACTTAGGATGCCCATTCATTCATTCACTTATTCCCTCATTCACAAATATTTATGGTATAATGACAAGTAGCAGGTGCCTTTCTAAGAACTGTAGATATAGCATTGAACAGATAAAATCCCTGCCCTCACTGAGATTACATTCCAGTGAAGAGAAATCAAAAATAAACAGACGTCTAAAATAGTGTGTCAGATGATGATAGTTGCCATGAAGAAAAATAAGGGAGGAAAGGCGGTTAAGAAATGTCAGGGGAGGGACAAAGGCCGTTTCAAACTGGAAACAGAGGAGAGTGAATTAGTACACTGATAAACCTCTGAGCAAGATTTGAATGAAATGAAAAATCAAGGCAGGCAGCTACCTGGATCTTAGAACACAGAAAAAATTTTCACCCAACCATGATATTTTAATTCAAAATATGTAAGTGGTTTGAAGGCATCCTTTGTTTTAGTAGTGCTAGGTATATTTTTATCTGGCAAGCAGGTTGGTGCTATAGCTGACCCCAGATGAACTGACTTAATTACCCTCAGAAGCTCCTAGGTTCTCACAGACTCTTAGAGACAGATAAAGTTCAGGGTATGAACCAGATTCTTCCCTAGAAGTTGCTAAGTCACTCCCTTGAGATGACATATGAGAGCATCTCAGGCACAGCTGGCACGTTCACAATCCTCTATCTAGCCAAGATCAACTGTGGCTTCATTTGGATATTATTATGGTTCAAAATTTTTTTTAAAAAAGTATGTTGAAGAAGAGTGTACTACCATGTTCATTGCAGTATTACAGGAATCAAGCAAGGTGTCCACTAGTGGATGAATGGATAACAAAGATGTCGCATATATACATAACGGAATATGAATAGTATTCCATCAACCTTTTAAAAAAAGAAGATCCTCTCATTTGTGACAATATGGATAAACCTGGAGGACATTGTTGTCTTACGTGAAATAAGCCAGGTACAGAAAAACAAATACCCAATGCTTTCACTTACAGGTAGAGTGTAAAAAAGTCAAACTCTATAGAAACAGGAATAAAATGGTTACCAGAGCTGCAGAGCGAGAGTATTAGGGAGATGCTGGTCAAAGTACAAAATGCAAACACACACACACACACACACACACACAAACAACAACAATCAAAAGTTGCATTTTTTTCTTTATAAATATATACAAATAAAGAAATAAAATAGTTTATGTAAAACAGGAAAAAGTATAAAATTAAAACAAAAATCACTTGTTTTCCATCCGGAGATAAACAAGTTTGTTTCTTAGGCTTCTACAGTCCAGATAACTCTTAACTGCAGGGAATGGGGGGCACACACCTTTAATTAAAAGGACATCTTCCTTTTCTGTTTGAACAGAATTACATTGTATAGATACTACACTCAGTTGCTTCTAGAATGCCAAATTCTTTCAAAGGCTACATGCTGCTTTTTGGGGTATACTACCAGGCAAAGATTGGCATGTTCTATTACCAAATACTCCCTGCTGATGTATTTGTGACCATATAGATATATTTGTTTCTAGAACATGCAGTGACATTGTTTTATTGGGGGTGACTTTTACTTGAGCCATTATAAATAGCACATTTATTTGAAGAGGGAAACCTGTTGGAGAACTCTAATATAAATTCAACGAACAAATAGTAAGACAACTGTTTCTTCCTCATCACATCATTGAGAAAGTTGCTTAACATCTCTGAGCCTCCAGTTCTTCATTTGTGACATCTGTAATATCCACCTTTCTATATCTCAATTTGTTAGAATTAGTAATAAAGATGACATGTGAAAGTGCCTTTTCACTGTAAAATGTCACGCAAATGCAAGGGTGTTATTAATGATTAAGGTAGTCCTTTAGTGTTTCAAATCTCCTATTTGAAACTCAACTCTCAATGCTTGCATCTTCCAACTACAGGAACTCAAATGGACCCAAAGCACTAACATTAAACTACAGTGCCCCCTAGCACATGTAGGAGGTCAAGGCAGCTTACAGGCTTCATAAATAAGCTCTACCACAGATGGTTCTTTTGCCTGAGGGAAGAACTATTAATTGTACTTTTGGACAATTTCCATTTGTCTAAAAGGAAAAAACATTTATGCATTTTCTTCAATACTTGCCTGTAATATTGTTTTTATTTTAATTTTTAAAAGGGAGTAAAAAAGTTAATATCCTGTACTATTTACATTTTCCCCTGGTTGCTTTAAATTAAGAGTATTTCTAAAAGAACAGTACTAGATTTATCTTAAGATTCACCGTGATGTTGCTGATTTATATTTGCTTACCTATTTTCACTCACCAAATTCTTTACAATCTAGTGTGAGAGAGGATATTGTTCATTGCACTCTTTTCACAGAGGTAGAATCGGAGTTAAGCTTTTATGCAAGATTGCACAGAAAGCTGTTATTATGAGCTTCAGCCCCCTAATTTCTATACACATTAAATCCACCAAGAGACATAGAATTGTGTAAGGAATTGCCATAGAATATTTTAATATTGAAATGTAGAAATATTTGCTATCATAGTTTTATAAAAGCCCAGATTAAAAATATATCAGTTGGGTTCTTCCATAGACTACAGTTCTTTGTTTATATTTGTTTCTTAATTTCATAAATTTTTATAGAAATTTATAAGTTCAAATGTCCCAGTACATAAATTGGTTCCCAAAGTGATGAGTCCTTAGGAAACGAAATGTGCTGTATGAGTTTATTTTTTCCATGCTGTGCATTTAAGTATTAATCAGCACAGCTTTCAGGGATGTCTTTCTAATATCCTTTTCTATGTAAGATAAGGACTGCAATTCATTATACCATTGGAGGAGCCAGAGGCTTTGCTAAGTTTTGCCTTTCTTGACTGTTCATCTCAAATTTAATGGGAGTGTGTGTGTGTGTAGCTATATTAAATTGGTGACTGGACTTTAATTATGACACAATGTTGGTTGCCTTTCAGGCTAATCATCTCTCCCTTTCAGGAGGTCAAAGATCATTTCAGCCTCAGTGTGCTTTATAACTACCTACTAAGGGAGGCAGCAAATCCCGGGCAACTGAGATGTGACTTTTATCACCAGTTATTTTTCTTTACATCTTTCTATCAACATAGCTCAGGGAGCACTCAAGAAATAAAAAATTACTCTTCACCAAGTACTAGCTTTCTGGGATCTGATCACTTCTAAGTGTAAACCTCTATTACCCTAGCAATGGTCCCTGGCGTTCCTTTTATTCCTCTTATATATAAACCTCACAAAAAATAACAACAAACCCTCAAGCCCACAGCAAAGAGAACGCAAGCACGGCACCATCCCTCTTCATACTGCCGTTTTTCACTTGGTAGAGGAGGTTAAATTTTGGAGAGAATGGTGGCATTCATAGGAGGGGCGGGGTAAAAGTGTTGTCTAATTTACACGTTAATGGCAGAACTCGCCTTAACCACGTCCCTCCTGCACAGTGGTGAAATCCTCCTGTGTGCTCCTGTGTGGATCCCGAGACCCTTCTCGCTTTAAGAGAGCCTCCCGCGCCCCTCACTCCGCCCCTTCCCAAGTCTCTGGGCTCGTCAAAGCTTCCAGAGAGCCATGGTTGGTCCAGGCAGGCAATCGGAGCACCTCATGGAGCGGCTGCTAACCCAGGGTGGGGTGGGGTGGGGTGGAGGGGTCTGTTTGTAGTACTCTCAGTCCTGATGTCACAGGCGCGGCAAGGACATCGCAAGGAGGAGTCGGATTACAGTAAGGATGGGCAGTGCAGCAGGCAGCCCCAGCGCACTCTCCAGCCGCCGGGGATCTTAGCCCTGGAAAGGCAGGCTGCAAGGCGCTCATCCCGCGGAGGAGGCACGCTCTCGGCGCTCACTGCTCTCCACGCCGGGGACATTTCCACCGAATGTAGCATGAAACGGCTCTGCTCTGCGTGCCAGCCTTGGGTGAGAGCTGATGCTGAAGACAACGCGGTGGGATTCCAGCTGTCTGATTAATGAGAAACATAATGTATTTTGGTGAGTGTTCACTCTGATGATGTAATTCTGGGGGTGTCCAGCTCTTCATCAGTGCAGACAAGCCCTTAAAAAATTCTTTAAGCTGCAAGAATATATTACATTAAACCTACCTCCAGTTGGCAACTGGAGGACCAAGCCGGTGCAGCCTTCAAAGCTTCCTTTGTGCCACTATTGGGGCTGTTAATTTGGCCGTGGATGAGTTTAAGTTGGAAAAGAAAAGAGACAGGGACGTGTGGGGGGGGGGGGGCAAACTTTGCCTTGATTTGCCCGAATGAAGTTGGCTGTTTTAGCTAGGTGAAGGAGAAATGGTGCAGCGTGGGAAGTCATGAGCTAACTTAATGGAATGTGAAACAAAGTTCCTATACTATTGATGCTGTGAAAGCTTAGTCAATATGAACATTTCATGAAGCATTTGCTGTTTTTTCTTGTTCAGAGGCGGAAAAGGAAAACATTCTCTAGTGAGCAGTGGTTGAGCAGCTGAGAACTGCTCTGTCTAGCTAGGAGCAGCCTAGCACAAAATGCATATTACTTTAAACCTTTAGAGGTCTCAGAGCTGTCAAATATTTGTGCAGTTTAGTGTTGTGCCACGGTAGAAACCTCAGTTAGGTTTTCAGTTGAGCTGCCTGCATTTCCAGGAAGCATGTTCAGGTTTAGATCTGAGCTATCAGTCGAGCACTGGAAGTGGGCTTGGAGCTGGGCATTTGCACTCTTAACGCTGCAACTTACTGCTAGTACAGGAGGCAAGCCCCTTCACTAAATAAGAAGTCGTCAAGCATAAGGACTGAATATTTGTTCGTCCTCTCTGAAGTTATGCTTTCCTTCTGTAAGTCCCATCTGGCATCATCATTTAAGGGCATCTATGTGATATTAAAAGGTTTGATAGAGCAACTGGAGAGGGGCTAGAAATGTATCCAACATGCAAATACTCTGATTTCTTGGTTTGCTTTCAATATTAAATCTAGAGTCTTCTTTCAGATTAAAGAGGTTTTAGATAAACTTAGGTTGGGGCACTATTAGTTTGTTGGACATTTATTTCTGTATGTACTATTTGCTCTGTTTTGTTTCCTTTAGTCTTTCAGACATTTGAGAGAGTGTGGAAGGAACCTAAGTTTCAAAAGCTAAATGCCTTTAGTTGTCTTGACGGTTTTGATTTCCCTGTAATTTGTGTCATATTAGAAAAGAAGTCTTAAAATAACTGAAAATGATTTGGAAGAAACAATCTTCATTGCTTCACCAAATTTAAGCAGAATCTATAGTTAAAAACCATCTCTTTCCAGTGGGTAGTGATGGAGGTAGTAAGCTTGTTTATTGGCCACTAATAGAGTTTATCATGCATATATTTTCATAAATGGAAAAGCTTGTAAAGATAATAAGTCTTTTGGACAAAATAAAATTTCGTCATCAGTAATGATACTGAAGGGTGATGAAATTATAATTTTAGTTTATATTTTCACCCTGTTGCAACAATTCCTTATGTGATTGTCATGAGGAAGTAGGGCCAGTTAGAATAGCAGTAAAGTCTAAAAGTACTGGTCAAAGGCCATCCATGCTGTACTGGATTATCGTGTGACTATTGAAGAAATGTTCACTGGGCTAGCTTGTGTTATTAACTGTATGCTAGTTCAGCCTCTTGTAAAGCAGAGTGATTCATAGGGTAATCAGTTTCATTGTGTAACGCAAGTTTTTAATAGTACGAATTGAAATGTGATGTCCTACTTACTTCAGATGACACTCTACTCTTTGAAAGGCAAGGCTAAAGTTGCCCTCCGTGTCTTGAACATTGTCTTACCATAATTTTGGTATAAGAAAGGTTTTTCTATTCCCAGAGGAAATCCTAGGTATTCAGGAATGCCGTTTCTTTCAGGGTATGCTATGCAGCGTGTCGTTCAAGCTGTTAGATACCCACAACTTTGGGAGCCCACCTGTCTCTAAAAAAAAATGTGTAGTACAAGAGCGAGGGCAAAAAGAATTAAGCAGTATACTTCAGGCATGTTAAAATTCAATAGCATCCTAATGTTTGAAAATCCTAAAGACTATGTATGTATATATGTATGTATGTATGTACATACGTACACACATATATGTGTACATGTGTATGTATCTTAATGTGTTTGTGTTCAAAATTGTAGTGATTTCAGGTAATTCTTCAAAACAATGCTTTCACTTTGCAAATTGGTTGGCCATTACTTTCTTCTTCATTTTTCAACTGCAAATGGTTTATCAAGTCAGGGAGAACAGGGACAAAGGGAACGCGATGCTGCATTCTTAGGTTTTTCTGGTGATTTGTGAGAATGGGGTAGAAGTGTCATAAGTCCTTTATTTGTGTCCCCAGCAGAGCGTGATGAAGAGCATGGTGATGCTATGGTACGGGGTGAATTGATATGAAAGCAGGATATTTACTTCCTTTATAAATCATCTGATTTGTCAGTGTTGCCCCCTCCCCCTACCCCTTCAAATATAGCTGAAGAATCACTGCCTGAATAGCCTGGCTCAGCCTATCTGCTTCAATGCATTCCTCCTTCCCCTTGGGACTGGACAACTGGACCCTGCCCTAGCTTAGTTGGAGTCAGTTGTGTGTGTGCAAGTTGGTGGAATATGTAATATTTTCGGATCTCAAGAACAGCTCATGTTTGGAGCGTGCTGTCTCAGACTTACCAGACTAATAGAGCTTTCTAATGACTTAAGCCTCACCTTATCTCCTATTGAGATTTTAGTGCAGTGTTTTCAATAATCGCTCATCTGTACTTCCTGTGCCATGATTTAAGAGTTTGCTATTCAGTCACCGTGGATACTTTTGTTACTTATTCTATCGATCTTGGATCTTGCATTCACTATTTGGAGTTAAATATAAGGTTCATATGGGAGAAGGAAGCAGGGAAAATCTCAGTCAGCAAACTAAGTGTGATTTACTGTAAAAGCAAGGGAAAAATATAAATACTTATGATTTTACCCTCCCACCCCCATCAATATTTTACATAGTTAAAAATTACATGTGCCAAAGATGAATAGCCATTAATAATTTATCCAGAAATAAAAGCAAGGCAGCTGGGAGACGTCTCCCTAGATTAAGGAGAAGAGGCTGTGGGTGGTTGTCAGTACAATGGACTGAGCTGCCCAGTTACAGTTTAGTTAAGAGGACTGCGCTGGTATGAAGGGCAGGGTCTTTGCTGAGTGCACCCTGGCGATTGCTCAGCACCTGGCAGAAGGTTGTAACTGTGCACTGTCTCCAGCTCTAAGCACCGTATGTTTGAATCGTCTCCCCCTTCCCATCTGGCCTGACACATTTCTCCACTGCTGGATAGGTGAGTCGTTGCCAGTGGTCATGTCAACCACACAGATTCCCCATGGTTGGCCAGAGAGATGCCATGTCTCACCCTTTGCCATCGGGAGAGAAAATGGGAGGCTGATTGTACTGAAGAAATTCTGTGTGGGTGCATATCAGTAAGCTTTCAGTTCTGAGTCCGGCAGGTAGAGACTGTGGTAAGCTTATAGCCAAGAAGGAGCTGGGGCTTGCCCCCATGATAACGCTCCTTAAGAAAATGAAATGATACACCTTAAACAGAACTAAGAGGCAAATATTAGAGCTCTCCCTAAATGTTACTATTAATGACATATTAATTAAACCTAGAGAAAAGGGCAGGCAAAATTTAGAAAGTGTGAATGAACCATTCAAGTTCGCTTTGGTGTTAGTTGTGGATCAACTCTCTTCATTAAAATGCCTAAGAAAAATAGGAAACACATTTGGTGGTGTGCCTGTAATAAAAAAAACCTGAGGAAGCTTTTAGTACAACAGCTAAAAAAAAAAAAAAATCTAGTAGGAAAATTCTAGGACAGAACACTATTCCCCTGCCTATAGTAGACACATTTGCACATTGTCTTAGGAAGGACTTTTGTTTTCCCCTGGAATGTTTAGAACATTCTCAAGTCAGCACTTACACTTTTGGTTGTAACTGGACCATCAAGTTCACCTCCAAACTAGTGTGCCAGAAAAACATTTAAATGGCAAGGTTATGAGGAAGGAAATGATCAGAAAGCAGTAGGCAGCAGAGAAAAACATTCTTCTTTTTTAGTGGTTTCAGTGGAAACATTTAACTCCTTCTAATTAGTTTGTACTGAGTGATCTGTTATGGAGAATTAGGTCCACTAGACTATTTCTAAACAGTCAGTGTTTCTCTCTTCCTGAAGCTGACAGGGGAGAGAATAATTCAGGAAGAAACTTCTGTGTCTAAAGTCCCCCTTTTAAAGCTTGAAGTCCTGACCATTATGTCTTATTACACTTAAATCTAAATTACATGCAATAAATTTCTACAAAACAGGGCTGGAGAATGTAACAGGTGAATACTATCAGAAAGGGTCATGCATAAGAACCTGAAATCTAAGATAACTTTAAAAACCATAAAGATTTCTTCCTCAAGACTATTCTCCTCTTAATTTCACATGAAGTTCTTATTTTAAAAGCCAAATTCCAAATTTGATCAACATACCAGTAACATGGATTCCTTATCACACCCTTAAATTTTAAGATAATTTTTAAAGGACCTCCACAGTTGTTGTGATTATATGGAAATGAGATATGTTTATTTAAGGGATACGTTCCAAAATTCATGAGCTAATGATGACTTGCAAAGTTACGCTTTCATGGGTGACATAATTGTTCCAAAAAACAAATGAAAAATTTAAATTAGTGGTTTCTGATTTCCATTCCAGAAGATTTGGTCACAGCTGCTTTTGCCTGAACACTCTCTTGATAAGACAAGATGTATTGGTTGGTGTGTGTATGTTTAATACTAGAATGTCAAATACTTCCTTGTTACATAGATACTTAATATTATACTTCATTCATAGCATTTATGTATTCCTGGATCTTTTCACATCATTTGAAATGTAATACATTAAGTATTGACTTAATAAGGTAGATATTAAAGTATTTTTTAAGCACAGCTGGCTTTCAAGTTTAGCAACCATTATATACATTAGAGGTTCTAAAAATCAAGTCATAA